ACATAAAATCAGTATCAGGGCAAGACTGTATGGCCTGTAGGCGTTCAACAAACGTGAACGAATCAGGTATACAATGCTTAGCAAAAAATGTTTGGACCGGTTGTATGACCTACAGAAGCCATTGAGCCAGAGAATGTTGGGATGAACCAATCATTGAAAGTATTGGTCTCAATGGAACGTCCTTCTTATGAACTTTTGGAAGACCATAAAGCCTTGGTCTAAGGGAACCAGAAGGTCTAATCCTGTCATAAGTCTCTTTAGAAAAGTAACCTTTTCTAAACAAGTATAATAGACGTTTCTGAATTTTAATTTCATTTCTGTACGTGTTGTCACAAGTTTCAACTGGACCAATTTTTTTAACTTTTCTGAATCATTCAAAATAGTCAACATCTTTTGGATGTAATCTACCCGGTCAGTAGAACAACACCAGCACCCTTGTCCGGTTTACAAATATAAATATCATTATTAGATTTCAATGATTTAACAACCTTAAATTGAGTTTTTGACCAGACAAAATCAAAAGAGTCAATAGAAGAATTACAATAACGATAAGCCAAGTCTTTCAACCTTGACTTCAATGTAATAACGTGATCCGATGAACAAGGAACATGGTGTTTAAGTTGGGAGAACAACACCTCAAATGCTGCCAGTGTCTCCTCTTTATCAATCTTAATCGGAGGAATACAAATTGCAAACCCCTCGACAAGACTGCACTTTCACTCTTTGAAAGGTGAAAACTTGAGTAATTGAAAATATGCTTACCTTCAGTACCAGAGTCACAACCATATCTGGAGCGAATAAGCAATGTAAGCTGTTTTTCAAATTTCGTGTTAACACGTTGTTTGGCAAATGCATCACCATTAGCCAAATATTTACAGAAACGAAAAAAGTCAAAGAAGGACAAAAAACTTTTAACTTTAAATAGACAACCATGTCTGAAGTTAATATAAAACTCAAGTTGTTTCAGCGACTTATTAATCTCATCTTGAATAAACGCCCGCTCAATTGTCAAACTAGGTCTAACCTTCGAGTGAAAAATTCTTTTGGAAATGAAGAGTGGTGCTACGTCTTGTTCTAAACAGGAACGTAGGAAAGAGATAGATAGTCTTAATGACCTAATTTTACTCTTTAATCGTAGTAGATTATTCAATTCTTTAATTTGTTGATGGGAGTTGTATAAAAAAGAGTGGTTTAGAATTATTCATACAGCCGATTCCAATAATCATTTGAAGATTTTGGAATCGGTCTGTATAGGATTTAGAAAACCTTCTCTCTGCCGGCAGAAAGAATTTATAAGGTCTCTGAATCTGTTGGGGGATATTTTATTTTAACTGTCCCTCGCTATTTATTTACACGATAACCCTTCCCTCGTTACAAGTATATATACTTGTTCGTTATTTTAGTGTGTTTCCCCCTCTTTTTTGCTCTTCAATATCGCTATTATTCATTTCGCTAATCCAACGATTGTCTCCTGATGAGATGTTGGCTGAAAGGGCTCTAGAGACTTTTAATATTAAAATCAATGGTTTCCTAGTTTTTAAAACTATTTATAAATTTTGTACCTCCAAACATTTGTATATATATATATATATATATATATATATATATATATGAAAAATATAGTCTTAAGGTGTGCTATATTTATGGGATAAAGTGCTCGATATCAGAGATAGAGCGTGTGTAAATATAAAAAGTGAACATAGAAGTCAACACTTAGAGGCGACAGTCTGTTTCATGCTATATGCAATCGTCAGGCCTGACGATTGCATATAATGAACTTCACTTTTATATTTATTTATATATATATATATATATATATATATAGTGTGTGTGTGTGTGATAAAAATAATTTCAATGTATGCTATATTTATGGGTTAAAGTGCTCAATATCAGAGATAGAGCGTATTTAACTATAAACGTGGACATTGGTGTCAACACCAAGCGGCGACAGTCTGTTTTATGATTGAACGCATTATTTTGACCTGAAAATTGCGTTTATGTACAAAAAGATATGATAAGAACAAAAAGTTATTATTGCATTGTGTTGTAACCTCGAAAAGGTTACTGAATGAGGAATAACCAAAACGGAGGTTGGAAATGAAAATGGTAATCTTTATAACATCAACAAAATACAATACTCGCCAGCGGCGTGAAGTAGGTAAACCACTGCCAGTGGTGGACTACTTAGACATCATATTATCCCCACTTACAATAGAGTCCAACGTATTTACGAGGATTGGGACATACCCATTAGTGTTCATATGTCTGGTATGTAACACATAGTGTTTTGTTCCTTCAGGAAATTCGGTAAAGGCAAATATAGAAAATTTATAGGGAAAAACCGTATTTATAGACAGGCCAAAATATCGTTGAAGAAAATATGCCGTTACGCGTTGAAATTGAAATTTAAAAACATTCCAAAATATTCAAAATATATCAGCTTTCTGACATCCTTTTTAAACATTTTTTTGTGTGTATTTATATCAAACTGTTCATATCAATCAATAATCAATATTTCCCAGTTCCATCTTTTTGAGAAAAAAAAATTCAATAAATATTATAAAATTTATATTTTCTTCAAGAGCAAAGACAAGAAAAGCTTTCAGACGTCGTATGTTGCTTTTATGTATGTACACCCGTATGTATGTACACCCGTATGTATGTACACCCGTATGTATGTACATCCGTATGCAAATTAATTGAAACAAAACGAATAATTCCGTTATTATTTATTGTTTCCGTATTTTTCTAATGAAGCATGACCCAGTACATATGTTAGTACTTCGTATGTCCATTCCGTGAAATCTTTCTTTGCAGATTGACCACAGATTCTCGATTGGATTTAAATCAGGAGAGTTTCCGGGCCAGTCGATAGTACTTTGACTTGGTCACTGGTAAAGCTTGACAGTGTGTTCGTGCAGCATTACAATTTTCTTACCCTTCCTTGGAATAACGACCATCGCAGACAATGGTCGTAGGACAACTAATCAACAGCCGAGACAATAGTGTCAGGGTGTGATGAAAATCTGATACAATCACGGATGACGCAATATTTCTAAAGGTCAAACTAATTTCATCATACACCCCGAAAATAGATTCATATTACTGCACACCACTGCCAGTGACCTAATCTGAGGAAAACATAGAAATCGATGACACCCTGTCCCTCCGGTGGGTCTAAAACTGACCAAATGGTGAAAGAAAGGAAACTAAAGCGGCTGTTTCAATAAATTTTGTACAAGGGTGTAGGTGTTGTTATGTGGACGTATTTGGTTAAAACTGTAGATTAAGTCAAGTCTATTGAATGCTTACTTTTAATGTGGGTCGATGTTGATTGAAAAACTAGCGGAAATACGCTCTTCGAGATGAAAAAAAAATGATGATTCCATACCTAACTGGTCATGTTTTATCTTTACAAGAGTCAAGTCAGACTAAACATGAAGTATTATTACCATATCTATTGCTACCATATCTGACAATTCAGAAGCCTATACGCGGCCTTGTGAGTGATGAATTACTTTCTCTCTTACAGCCTCTTTCCCACAGACGAAACGTTGCCAGCCTCACGTTATTCTATCGTTATTTTCATGGCAAAACGAACTATATTCCTTGGTTCCACCGGTCTAGACTTTCAGAGATAGGATCCGCCATGCCGCGTACATAGAATCGAGTGATCTCCATTGCTTTCGGATTCCATTGGTAAGGAGGAAGTACCACTCAAACTGTTTCTTTCCGAGAACCGTTAATTTGGGGACCAGACTCCATAGAATTCATTTAGAATCAACTACATGAACTACACCAATTTCTTCTTCCTCTTACGCCCTTATAGCAACATGCAATAACCTTCTAACTTGAGTGGCTCTTGGACCTTATAAATTTGCAATAATAAAAAACAAGAAATACAAAACAAGGAATCTGAACAAGTTTTGAAATTATAATACCAGAATACAGACAATATCTTCCATATATACACCTGGGAAAAAACGTAGAAAGGATCTACCGTAATTTAACAGTAACAAAAAAAAACAAAAAGAAAACAAAAAAACTATGAGTTCATTATTTAGGGTAACACTTGGAAAGATAACGTTTCTTCAGCTAAATTACAAGAGATATTTTGTAAAAGCATAAACCGTCGAGGGTGCCAATGGTTGATGAGTTTCCTATCATAGCATGTCTCCTGTTAAACACTGTCTTTAAGATAGGAAGGTTAAAAGAAAAACACTGCGCTTAATAATCAAAATTAACTCGAATTTAAAATGGAAGGATGAGTCCATTAAAAACATTTCAATTTATCTGTCTAAGTGATATTTGAAACTGATTCACAACTTCAGAGAATTAACCAAAATTGGCTGAAAAAAAAACAACACACACATATATTTAATTACTTCATCGAGTCTGATAGAAACCTCGACAGAATGCAGAAAGCCGTTTCGTCCTATATTTGGGACTCATCAGCAGTGCGCATCCACTACCGAGAATTGAAACCCTGACAGTTAGGTTGTCAAGCGAACATTATACCAACTGTTCCAAATGTGCCTCGGTGACGAAGAGATTCCAAATCAGACTCAACTTAGCGCCGCTCGCTCACATATTCATATTTATATATATAACACCTTACGCCCCTTTTGTTTAAACAATTGCTCTAGACGTTACCATAGAAATTTTAATTTCAATATGAATATGCTTATAAAACGCGTAAATTTCAGAAATAAGTTATTTCAATTTCGCTTGAAGATAGAACGGAGCTTAGTACTTTAATTCAATTTAATTCAAATAATTATATTGAAGTTTTCGGCTCTTGTTTTGAAACATGAGAACTCTTATGTATCATTGGAATCATATTTTTAAATAAATAATTATATTTATGCTTACACTTTTTGTATCGAGCACTATTTTTTAAAAATAATAACAAAAATACTAAAGAACTTTGGATTATTTACCTAACAAGTTCTTTCCTATTTTCTCTATATATTTTTCTGCCTGGAAGACGCTGCCCCATCATGACCTTTCATCATCGTAAAAGTGGGTACAATTATGTGGTAAAAAAATAAACGATTTTGTATGTATATATATATATATATATATATATATATATCAGCATATTTCTTCACTGTCTGTCTATCAGACTCTCTCTCTCTCTCTCTCTCTCTCTCTCTATATATATATATATATATATATATATATATATATATATATATATATATATATATCTGTCTGTCTGTCTAACTCAGTCTGTTAATATCTAAGACTCTGTGTATCAGTCAGTCTATTCATATCTATCTATCTATCTATCTATCTGTCTGTCTGTCTGTCTGTCTGTCAAACTCATTCTGTTAACATCTAAGACTGTGTGTATCAGTCAGTCTATTCATATCTATCTATCTATCTATCTATCTATCTATCGAATCATTTATTGTTCGCTGTTGCGCGCCTGATATAAATATAAACGCCATTTCTTTTTAATCAGTTCACTGCAAGCAAGGCAATAATGTCCCCAAGACGCAAAGGACTACTGGAAGTGAATGAGAATGAGGGATAAACCTCTACTCCTGTTCAAACAGCGGGTGATGCACAGAGAACAGAGGCTACCAGGGAAATGAATAAAGACATAGATAGATAGATCAGTGATCGAGCTAACATGTTTAGTTGGAGGGATGTGAGTTTATAAGCCTGGGTTTCACGCATTCCGCGATCGTCAGACAAGTCCGACTGACGATCGTACGGAGCGTGAAAGCCAGGGTCGCAATATCACATCAATCCCACTAAATATATATACAAATTGAACATAAAAAACATGCCAGATCTAATCCATTTCCTAAAATTATATATATATATATATATATATATATATATATATATATATATATATATATATATATATATATATATATATATGTCATATGTATGTGTGTGTGTGTGTGTGCGTGTGTGTGTGTGTAAAGCAATTGAAGAATTCGAATTGAATGAATTTTACAAAATCAATTAAAGATCTCACTTTGCTGTTCATTTAGTCATGCCTGTTATTTCTTTATGCACGTTTATCTCTTTACATACACTCAAGACTATCTGAATGTATTTTGCATATGTATATATATATATATATATATGTCTGTATGTCTGTATAAGCCAACTGACTGGCATGCCCATCCTCAAACTCGTTCCATAGACACAACATTTAAGAGAGAGACTGACAGATACTTATATCCATCTGTTGTCGGCCTCATTTTTCTGAGCTTATCGCTGTTAATAGTAAGTAATATCGTCAGGGGGCGGACCCACCCACAACGTCTCTATCGATTATTAAACCAGACATCGAAGAAGGGGAAGAAGAGTAGAAATATTTTTAGATTCCTCTCTTCTTTCTTCATGTCCCACTGATGATGGCATAGCGGTTAAGTCCTGAATTGCAAGTCTGCGGGGCTAGGTGGCTTTATCAGTGATGCTACTTTCGTGTTTGGGTTTTATGTACCAACGCCAGGATGAGCAGATTTTTCTTTTGCTTTTTTGCTTTTAAGAAAAGAGGTTTTCCTTTTATATATATATATATATATATATATATATATATATATATATATATATATATATATATATATATATATATATATATATACCTTCTTCTTCTTCTTCTTCTTCTTCTTCTTCAATACATTATTTTTTTCTTTTACATATTTGCTTTTAATCATTCACTTCATTCCTCTTCTTTTTCAATTCAGGCATCTTATTCAATCAATTTCTTCTTCATCATCTTCCTCTTTCTTTCTTTCTTTCTTTCTTTCTTTCTTTTTTTCATTCTTTTTCTTCTTCTTCTTCTTCTTCTTCGTCGTCGTCGTTGTCGTCGTCGTCGTCGTCTTCGTCGTCGTCTTCTTCTTCTTCTTCGTCGTCTTCTTTCTTTCTTTCTTTCATTTTTTTCTTTTCCGTCTTCTTCTTCTTCTTCTTCTTCTTCATTTCTTTTTTTTCTTTCCTTCTTTTTCTTTTTTACATTTCATTTTTAATCCATCACCTTATTCTTCTTTTTCAATTAATGTGTCTCATTCCACTTCTTCTTCTTCTTCATCTTCTTCTTTTTCTTCTTCTTCTTCTTCTTTTTCTTCTTCTTCTTCTTCTTCATTTTATTCTTAGTCTATTCAACATCCTTTTTATATTATTTTTTTTAAAATTTCTATTTCTTCCTCACCTAATTCCTTTTTTAATTTTTTATTTCTCGGCCTACCATAATCTGAACAACTAAGCGTATATTAGTCGTGCCGAGAACTTTTCAGTAATCAAGCAAACCTTTTTTATTGCTTTTTCATCGTCGTATTTCACTTTTCTTCTTCACCTTATTCCTCGTCATCGTTTTTTTTTTTTTTTTATTTATTCTTCAGTTTCTTCTTCTCTCTTTCCTTCCTTTATTTGCCATTTCCACACATTCTTTGTTTTTCTTTATTCCTCAGGTTTTTTCTTTCCTTCGCTTTCCTTCTGATTTATTATTAGTTTTATTTCTTTTTGCTTTCCTTAACTTCATTCTTCTTTTTCTCCTTCTGTTTTTCCTTCCTCCTCCCATTTCACTGATTCTTTTCTTATTCCTCTCTTTTATTCATCAATTTCGCCTTCCTTCCTTCTTTCTTTCTTTCTTTCTTTCATCATCATCATCATCATCATCAATTTTTTTTCTTCTTTTTAATTTTTTCTCCTCCATTCTTCTTCTTCATTATTATTTTTAATTTCCTTTCTTTTCTCTCGAATTCTTTTTAATTAACATTCTCAGTCCTGACCAAGAATTATTGTTTGATATCTCGATTTCACGAATTTCAACACGGCATTAGACTGGCAGTCACTCTCATCATTTCAGTGTTGAAATTTCTAGATAATCGCACGTTCTATGTTAATAGTTTCTTCTGTCACACATCTCGTGGAACTCACTTCCGGCTTCTGGCTTTCCTGTCAATTGTGATCTTTAAAAATTTAATTTGCCACACTAATCGCCATCTTGTTTCCTTGAATCCTGTTATTTTATTGTCCCTTCAATCTCAGCTATCATTTGCATCTGAGTGGCTTAGTCATAAAAAAGGATTTTCTTCTTCCTTCAGTTCGTCTTCACTTTTTATTCTTCCTTATCGTTTTTTTTCCGTTTTATTTCTTTTCAACCTCTTCACCATCAAAATCCTTCATGGCTGTGACAAGTGACTTTCCTTTTCGAAACGAACAGGGGTAAAAAGACTGGAAGCCGAAATAAATAATTCCCCCTGCTCTTCTTGGACCCAAAGAATTCCACTGAGTAGCACGACTTTTCTTCTATCAGGAGGTTAAGTTCTTTATTAGAAACCACATGATATACATGCACCAGTCAAGAACCCAAAATCGTAGCCTGTTTCAGACATGCATTTTTTTTTATGTAAGAATAACAAACTGTTACGTAATATCAGTCCTCCTATATGGCAGTGAATGGCGGAAAAGTTCTTCACTGACAAAGAAGAGATTTAAAACAAAAGAAATATGATACTACAAAAGGATGCTGAGGTTGCCATGGACCGATCATGTAAGCGACGAAAAAGTTTAACAGAAAACAGGAACAAAAACGGAACTTACGCCTAACACCAGGAAGAAACACTAGAAAGACGGCTTGGAAATTTTGATACTCACAGGACAGATTAAAGGGAAGAGGGACAGAGGAAAAACAAGCATTACTTACCAGGCGAGTTTCAGTAAATTGATGGGGGAACAAAGTTCAGGAGAGATGACAAAAAGATAAAACTTTGATAAAAATTGAATGACGAAAGGAAATCACCATATTGATACATGTTTTAATCCTATCTAAGCTTTCGGCTTACATAAGCCATCACCAAAGATGACAACTGCATTACAATATATTAAACAATACACGGACATGGCAATAATGATAGTCCGTTTTTGTTTGCATGGAAGATTTCGAAGTAACGACAAATTCGTGCATACGAGACGCTGGATGCAAAAATCGCACCGCGGCTCATGACGTCACACATGAGCACGCGAGATTGAAAACGAGAAGTGTTAAGTATGGGAAACCGTTGGTATAAAGAAATGGCTTCTGTTATCAATTATAGGAATTTGAGTACATTTGTGGAGTTTTCATAGTTTATTTTGATCAGGTTAGGTTTAAAATGTTTTATGTATATAGCTTCAAGAATTTTTACTTTTTGTTTACTTTTTCATGTTTAAGGATAGCTGTGGTTTCCACAAGAATATTCCGGAATTGTGTACGCGGCCAGGAATGTTGTTTTAAATGTCTAAAAATGTTAGAGTTATGATTAAAATGTAGAGTCAAGTGAGTTTGTGGTGTGACCAACATAAATATTATTTAATCCGTTGAAGGTACAATCTGAGCACAAAGTGCCAGTGTTTTTTTTGTTTTTTGTTTTTTTTTTGTCTTGCTGCAACTAGATGCGAGCCGATCAAGTGTAAAATCCTCGAAGGAGAAAACGGGAAAGAAATGATAGCAAACATACCAACCGGCAGAGTTCATTCCCAGCAATGCAAGCCACTGCAAGTTAATTTCTTTGTGACATGTAGAACAACGATTCCATATTGCACACAAGCTGCTCTCCAGTTGCCTCCCTGCTGAGCAAAAAAAATTATAGATAGATAAATAAAGTAGCAGTTATACAAGTTAATCATACACATGCAAAATCACACGAAGATAAAAGAAAATAGTTATAAAACCGAAAGTAGCAGGGAATTTTTTCATATTCAGTCAGTCAGTGATGTGCCATGCGTGATACACGATCATGTATCTTTGGATACATGACTGAAGAGGCATATTTTTTTTCCTACAGTCGGCTGCCATTTCTTTCTGCGCTAGACTAGTTGCCATCAAAGGCTACAGAATTTTATTTACCCATAGCTGGAGAGAGAATAAGAGAATTCATGCCGTTCCCAAGAGTATTCGCACGTAAGTGAATGCAATGGATTTGAGTGTCATTCGAACTCAGCACTCCGATTTTTCAATCCGAGCCGCTATCCATTACGCCAACGTGCCCCGTCTAACGTATTACGTCATTTCAATCAAAATCTGTTGCTATGGCATTAAATGATATGGAAGTTCAGTATCTGTGACATTCAAGGGAATAATTTTATATGTTATGGATTTAGAACGTCTCCAGAATGGATGAAAATGTTGAGCCAAGTGCTGGAGACATTCAGTGCATTTGATGATTTCAAAACGACAATATTATTGCTTAATGCTAATGGAATAGTGAAAGCTTTTGTAAAACTCAAATTGTCTTTTCTATTTCCAAACTAAAATCGATCAAAACCTTTTCTACCTACAATTACTCCAGTACCATGCTGATATTGATTGATTCCAATATATATATATATATATATATATATATATATATATATATATATATATATATATATATATATATATATATATATATATATATATATATATATATATATATATATATATATATATATATATATATATATATATATATATATTTGTTGATTGACTCAATATATATATTTATGGGATAAAGTGCTCAATATCAGAGAGAGAGGCGGATGTAAATATAAAATATAAAAGTAAACATTGAAGCCAACACTCAGAGGCGACAGGCTGTTTCATGCTAGATGCAATCGTCAGGTCGCCTAACGATTGCGTCTAACATGAAAAAAGCCTGTCGCGTCTGAGTGTTGGCTTCAATGTTCACTTATATATATATATATATATATATATATATATATATATATATACTTTTTTTTAAATGCAAGGTCTGAAAAAGCGAAACCGAATTTTATCGGTCTCGCGAAATATAAAAATTGTTTCTGAAGTGTCCGACTTGTTAATCAATTATATATATATATATATATATATATATATATATATATATATATATATATATATATATATATATATATATATATATATAATATATGAGTGTGTGTGTGTATGTGTGTGTGTGCGTGTGTAAAATTTCAAATATAGCTAAAAAAAAAAAAAAATATCTGTAAAGGGAAAATATAAATCAAGCGAAAAGTAAATCTTTTCTGAGCCGGCTTGTTTCGTTCCCTGACGGAGTTTATCAACAATTATTTATAAAGAAAAGTAAAAATACCGTTACTTTTTCAAAATTTTTAAATTTAAGAACGCTCAGAAATATGCATCAGTCTAACCGGAAAATCAAGCTAAATTATGGAAGATGCTAAGTGATATAAATCAATGTCTAATAATCAAAAGTCAGTAAATGTTTTCCGTTTTTAAAATAATATAATTACTATTTGTATTATTTTTGTAGGGGATTATTTCATGTATTATTATATTTGAAATGACAAGAGGTTATGAATTTCACTATTTTACCTTTAATTATTTAACATTAATTATAGTCGTGTTGGTCGGATCGGGAAAGAGGAATTTCTGTCAAGAAAGGAAAAGCATCAGTGGGCACAGGTTTATTATTTTTGTGACGTACCGTGGCCATTAATGATTAAGTATAACTCAAGACTTCAATATTAAGATAAAATAGTATTTAATTACAACCACAATGAAATACTTAACAAGAACAAAGAAGTAAAAGTTAACCAAAGATAATAAACCATTTCAGTGAATACCTTGTTACTAGTTCGGCTCGGCTTAACATCCGGTAAATCCTAAATCAATACCCAAATCATCGTGATTCACACTAATTCGACTGGATACTTCCACTCAATAGTCACTCCAGTCAGTAGCCTGACACCGCTATTTATACACCTGGCGGAAAACATATATTCATAAGTCCAGAGTGTTACGGTCGAACCTCGGTGTCGGGAGTTACGTATTTTCTTCCTATATGACAATATTGTAAACATGTTTTATTAAAAAGAATAAATATTTTATGCCTATCTTATTTAAGACTTTAGTTCGGTTTTTTAGATATGTCTACTGAAATATCATGAGAAAACTGTCTTTACCAGGTGTTTTATTCTCGGAACTTGTGTGTGTGTGTGTGTGTGTGTGTGTGTGTGTGTGTGTGTGTGTGTGTGTGTGTGTGTGTGTGTGTGTGTGTTTAAAAGAATGAGAAAACTGGGACTCAGTGAAAAGACCTACAGATCACTCCCTTTCTTATGTAATTATTTATTCGCTCGATCTAACTTGGACATTCATCAGTCTATCACACCAA